CTAGGGATAAAGTAGATTATTTCCTACTAATAAGGAGTTTAATTCTTTGGGAGAACATACAGTCTGACATATTTATGTACTTAATAGAACTTCAAATACATGAAGCAAATTTGACAGAACTGCAAGGAGAAATAGACAAATATACAGTATAGCTGGAGATTTCAATCTCTCTCAGTAACTGATAGATCAAGTAGACAGAAAGTGAGTAAGAATACAAAATATTTGAACAATTGATATTAATAAAACACTCTACCTAGTATCAGCAGATTATACTTTCTTTTAAATGCACATAGAATATTTATTCAGATAGACCATATTCTGTGCCAAAAAAACAAGTCCCAATAAAAATAAAGGCATTCGAGTCATACAAAGTATGTTCTCTGATCACAGTGGAATTATATTAGAAAGTAGTAACAGAAAGGTATCTGGAAAATTCCCAAATATTTGGAAACTAAATATCATTTTTGTATAAATAATCCATGAGGCAAGGGAGATATCAAAAAGGAAATAATAAAATATCTTGATCTGAATAAAAATGAAAATATAGCACATAAGAACTTATAGGATGCTGCTAAAATATAGGGGAACTTCATAGACTATATTTCTACTTGAAGGAAGATCTCAAATCAGTGATCTTAGCTTCCATCTCAAGAATAGGAAAAGAGAGCAAATGAAACCCAAAGTAAGTAAAAGAAAGGAAATAATAAATATCATAGTGGAAATAAATGGAATAGAAAACAGGAAAACAATATAGAAAATCAGTGGAACCAAAAGTAAAGAAAATTAATAAAATTGACAATTCTCTAGCCAATCTAATTATGAAAAGGGGAGAAAATACAGATACTCTAATCATGAATGAGAGGAGTAATATCAGATTCTATAGATTACTAAAGACTGTACAGATTCTACAGATACTAAATGGAAGGATAACAAAGCAATATTATAAACGCTTACTTAAAATTTCAACAATTTAGCCGAAATAGACAAATTCCTTAAAGACATAAGCTACCAAAACTCACTCAAGAAGAAACAGATAATCTGATAGCTTTGAATTTGTTATTAAAAACCTTTCCACAAAGAACACTCCAGGCCCCGATAGAACCACTAGTGAATTGTATCAAACTTGTAAGGAAGAAATAATAGTAACTGTACCCAAACTCTTCTTTAATACTGAGGAGAAGAGAATATTTCCCAGCTAATTCTGTGAGACCAGCATTACCTTGACAGTAAAGATAGAAAAGACATTACAAAAAGGAAAACTATAGACTAATAATATCCCTCATGAATATAAATGCAAGAATTCTGAACAGAATTTTAGGAATCTGAATCCAAGAAAGCATTATGTATCATTACTAATGAAAGTATATCTGAGAAATGCAAGGTTGGCTTAACATTTCAAACTTAACCAATATGACTGACAATATTAACACACTAAAAAAGAAAACCACATGATCATCTTAACAGACATACAAAAAAATTTAACATCCATTCCCGGCTAAAAAAACTTTCAGAAAACTAGGAATGGAAGGAAACCTCTTCAGTCTGATAAAGGACATTTCCAGAAGAATCCTGGAACTAATATTATTTAATGGTAACAGACTGAATGCTGTCCCTGAGATAAACAACAAGTCATGGATGTCCACTCTTACTTTTGCTAATTTAACATTGTAAAGTGGTTTTAGCCATTGCAGTAAGTCAGGAAAAATAAATAAATGTCATCATGGTTGGTTAGAAAGAAGTAAAACTCTCTCTTTGCAGAAATCTTGATCTACAAAAAAGCTACTAGAAAAAAGAAGTATGTTTTGCAAGATTACAGGATACAAGATCAATATACAAAAACAAACTGTATTTTTATGTACTAGCAATGAACAATCAAATTGAAATTAAAAAGCAATATTTACTATTATATGAAGTATTTAGGGATGCTTCTAACAAAACATACTGTAAGACCTATACACTTAAAAGTACAAACACATTGCTGAGAGAAATTTAAAAATATTTAAATAAATGGAGAAATATACTGGTTAATGGGTTAAAAGACAGTATTGTTAAGATGTCAGTTCTCCATAACTTGATCTGTAGATTTAATAAAACCTGATCAAAATCTCCATAGGATTCTTTTTTTTTAATAGGAATTGACAAAGTAATTGTCAGTTTCCTATGGAAATACAAAGGAATTAGAATAGCCAAATCAACCTTGAATAAATAAAAAAAATAAGAGTACTAATACTACCAAATTTCAAGACTTTTTACAACTAAGCAAGACTGTGATTTTGGTGTTAAGATCAATAAATAGATCAACAGAACAGAATATAGTTTAGAAGTAGACTCACACAAATATGAACAATTGATTTTTGACAAAAATACAGTGATAATTCAGTGGAGATGGGGTAGTGTTTTTGACAAACAGTGCTGGAATAATTGGCTATCCATAAGCAAAAAATGAATATCAATCTATACCTCATACATGTACAAAATTAACTCAAGACAAATCATAGACCTAAATGTGAAACCTAAAAGAATAAAATTTCTAGAAAAAAACTGTGAGAAACTTTTTTGTCCTTGGATTATGCAGATTTTTAGATGGAATATCGAAAGCATGGTCCATAAAATTACAAACAGTAAATTAGACTTTATCAAAGCTAAAACTTCTGCTTTTTAAGATGTGGTACATATATACAATGGAATATTATTCAGCCATAATAAGAAAACAAATCCTACTGTGATGACATACTAGTACATGCATATTAGAATAATTAAAAATTAAAAAGATTGTTCACACCAAGTGAGAATGTAGAGGAGTGAAACTCTCACATACTGCTGATATGAATGCTAAATAATAAAGCTGCTTTGGAAAATAGTTTGGCAGTTTCTTATAAAATTAAACGTACAATCCAGTCATTCCACTCCTAGGCATTTTCTCAACAGAAGTGAAAGCATATGTCCATTTAAAAAAAAGTATATATGAATATGTGTAGCAGCCTCATATGTAAGAAACGAAAACTAGAAACAAGCCCAAATGTTCATCAACAATAGAATGGTACTTAGAATAAGAAAGAATGAACTATTGATACATGCTCCAACATGAATCTTAAGGCAATTATGCTGAGTGAAAGAAGCTAGGTAAAAAGGAATACATAAAATATGATTTAATTTTTATTAAATTTTAGAAAATGAATACTAATCTGTAGAGACAGAAGTCATATTAGTGGGTTCATTGGGAAAATGTGTTGAGGTGAAGACTGGGAGCCTGAGGGGCATGAGGAAACAAACGTATGTTTGTTATCTTCTGGTGGTCGTGTCACTGGTCACATAAGCCTAAACTGATCAATCTGTATACTTTAAATATGTGCCACTCACTGCATGTTAATTGTAGTTTTTTAAAATATAAGTTTTTAAGAGCCTCCGGTGACTCTAGTGTATTAGGGACAAATTTGGGAATCATTGTTCCAGTCCCCTCAGGTCCCTGGTTCTATCCTACAGAGACAATCTATTCTAGGCAGTTTCTTGTTCTGGAATTGGAACATTCTGAAAATATAGTGTATATATAGGCACTATATAGTGTATATATTTCTTGTTTTAAATTCACAAATGTGGCATACTTTGTATACTGTTCTGTACTTAACTTTTTTTTACTTATTATATGTATCTTGGCAATCATTCCATATCAATAAATATGGAATGACCTTTTTTTTTTAACAGTTGTATGTCAATCCCAATGGAACTGGATTTTGCCTGGCTCCAGTCATTTTGACTGCGTGAGGTGGTACTGTATGCTTATTTCAAAACATTTTAGAAAGGAAGATGTAACTTGAATAGTTGCTAGAATTAATTTTTCTTTTAGGTACAACCTTAAGTCCTCATTTGCATGCTATATAATGTGACAAGATGCTTTCTTTCATCTGTGAATATAAAAGCCTTCTAGAACACAAATTTCACTGTGAGTTAGTACTTTTTCACTGGTAAAGTATGCATATCTGTGTGAAATGTTGACAAGTGTTACATTTTGGAAAGTTGGTATGACATTTTGTTTGCTTTCCTTGTCCCCTTTGATATTTGTACTTCATTCAACAGTTTTAAAAAATCTTTTCTTTGTCCTTTGGCAGTTAATTTGGTGTTTGGTCTTTAGGCCACAGCCATTCTGGAAATGCATACTGTGTAAGCTAACCTCTTGCCAGCTCACACTTTTGGCAAAGAAATTATTTGGCTAAACTCTTGCTGGATTTTTTTTTTTTTTAAGTAGCAGCAGGTCAACTGGCCAATACCACAGTAATTTTTGTTTTTAAAGTTAACTTCACTCTTTAGTTTTTAGACTATGTTGCAAGAGAATGACCATCTACAAAGACCAATGGAGTAATTTATTTGGGGGATCTAAATTCCCTAATGGCCATGTATGTGTCCTTCACAGGTTTTCTATAATTTTCAGTCTTAAAGGCAACAAGAATCTCAAAGTGTCCATTATCCAAACAACCCATACTGTCATGTCCGCTTATGCATTTACTAGGTTTTTAGTAAACATTGAGTCTTTTTATGACTAATGATATTTTGAACATCTTGCCAACATTTCATCAGATATTGAATCAGGGCAGTTCCTGTAAGTTGAGTGTTTGTTTAATATTCATTAGCTGGTGAAGTCAAAAGGTTACAACCCCTGATAGTAAATCCACTCATTCATCTTTCACATCCTTAAACTCCATATTCCTGTCATCAAGTTTCAGAGCAATGTGTTCACCTCTTTGTCCCTCATTCTGTAGGATTTCAGGGGATTGTCCCTATCCTACCCAGTTATGTTTGCTTTTATTTGTATGCCTGAGGTCATGTTTCTGAGGAGTGACAGTGGAACATACACGTTTTCAATGCTGCCTTTCTCTGAAGAGAGTCTTTTGGCTCAGAAAACAGCTTTTTTTCTGACTAGTAAATTATCTTTAATTTACTCCCTCTCTCCATCTCTGAGTACTTAACTTTTTAGTTAACTCAAGATGTGTTGCTCTCTAACCCAGGGAAAGTGTGGAGAGTCTGATTCAGAAGCACTCCTATGCCCGTTCACCCATCCGTACCTATGGAGGAGAAGAGGATGTGCTGGGGGATGAGGTTCAGACAACGCAGAATCGAGGTAAGACAGTTTCTAGACTCTGCCACTGCTGGAGCAAGTGCCCCCAGAGGAGGAGGATGGCAGGAGGTGAGACTTCTGGGCCTTGAGGAATTAATTGCCCCAGAAGCATTCAGGAGACTCTATAAAGACAATTGGACCAATTTATTTGGGGACCCTCTTCATGAAGGGACAGCCCCTGAGGCTGATTTTTACTTAGTTCATTATGTCACTGTTGTGTCTTCAGTGATTATGCTTCCTGGAGGTTTCCTGTGGTTTGTTTTCTAGTAAAGGACGTGGAGCCTCTGAGCTACTTGTCCGTGTCTACTACCAAAATATTGTTGGACTTTGGTTCGGTCCTTTAGTCTGTCTGAACCTCAATTTATAATCTGAAAACCAGGGACCATATCTATTGCACTTGTGTCAGGACTGTCTTATGAGGATCAATGACTAAAGTGGAAAATACTTTTAAAAAGAAGATTCTCCTAGTGAAGAGTATTATGTAGAGGCTGTGGCCCCAGTGGTGAATTAGAGGTGTTCTGAGAAGTTCCTCTAGGGTAAAGTCTCTGGGAGGAGCCCTCTGTACCCAGGAGTCCAGAGAAAAGAGACCAGGGGGTGCCCACTCTGGGCACAGGCATGTTCGTGTGGGGAGAGAGAGCTCTCTGGCACAGTTTATATCCATAATACGGAGTAGCATAATCAATCAAAACACAGCCCACCTCTTTTAACTAAATTCAAATGAACTACTAGTAATTATATAGTCAGAAAACTCACGTCAACTCATATTTAAACTACTGGATGCTGCAGTGCAAGAAAAACTTAACTCTTGCAACTTGCCAAATATTTAGTACAAAATTATGGAAGCTAACAAAGAAAAAAAAAAAAACTCTTGTGGGCTCTCACAATGACTTCAGAAACAGAATGGCTTTGTTGAGAGGCTCACATGTGCAGCCTTCCTGGCAGTGACATCGGAGGGCCCAGGCAGGTGGTGGCTCTCTGGAACTTCCTCAAGGTGAATCGGGTCATTCCCTTCGGGCAGGGCACCCACCTGTGTTTGGCCACTCAGTGGGAGTATGCAGGCCATCTCATGAGTCAAGTCTTTTCCTGTTTAGTAAATTATGTCTTCCATATATGGTGTAAATGATACCTTCCAACCCAGGACGGTTGATTTGCCTCGCGGTGGACCTGTCTTTTTAAATTGCAGATCTATTATATATTAAAAAAATAAATCGATCCTTACAGGTCATGAAAGTCTTGGTTTGCACACTGAACTGGAGTTTCCAGGGTAACGAGCTGTTTCTCCTTCCAGGGTCGGCCTTTACAACCTCTGATAATTTGTCTCTCAGTTCCTGGGTCTCATCGACCTCGAGCTTCCCTGGATTCCAGCACCCACCGTCCCTGACTGCTCTTGGCACCGGCACAGCATCCATAGCAACACCCATTCCTCACCCCATACAGGGGTCTCTGCCACCATATAGCCGCCTTGGGATGCCTCTGACCCCGTCGGCCATTGCCAGCTCCATGCAGGGGAGCGGCCCGACATTCCCCTCCTTCCACATGCCCCGATACCATCACTACTTTCAGCAGGGGCCCTATGCTGCTATCCAAGGACTGCGCCATTCCTCGGCTGTGATGACACCATTTGTATGACTCTTCTAAAAATAGAGAATCCAGATCCAGAATGTGCTAATGGAAATTGAAATACAGGACAGGGGTGGGGGTGGGAGGGGACTGTTGGAGCAGAGGCTCTCCAGGATACATGGGACCTATTAAAGAGGAGAGCTGGACTCACAATAAAACCTGCAGGTGGGGGAATGCACCATGGACCAGGCTTCATCCCCAGGTAGGGGACAGCTCTTGGGTTCAAGAGAGAATCAGTGCAAAGCTCTTAGCCAGCCTAAGTCCTGCAACTAGTAGGATATCTATTTACCTAGAAAGTTTAATAATACAAAGCAGATGAATCTTCAGGTGCATTATTCCTAGTGGTTGAAAATGCTGTGTTGATGCAGTAATGTATAAAATCAAAATGTATAGGTTTTTTTTTTGCTTTCCACTGGTTAAAAGATTCTTCAGAGACAATACTATATCACATACCAACGATTATGCATAATGACTAACCTAAGTCCATCTTTCCCTGTAGAAAATGAGATCAAATAGAGAAATGTTTGTAGTGCTGTTGCTTAAGCATATTTAGTTTTCCTTTGTGTTACTTTGTTGGGGAAGGAGCTGAGATAATGCTAATGCATCCTATTTTGTGGATGAAAAGGTGGCATGACTTCACAAAGTTCTTTTTGTAATACTGAAGGGCCAGTACCTGACAAGCTCTTTTTCACAGTCTTGTCTTCTTTCTTCCTAATTCTCCTTTTTGCAATTATTTGCCATTCATGTAGGAAAAATCTTCTGTATACAATCTTGAAGCAGGAGGCTCTATGTAAAACTGAGGTTTTATTTGTCTGGGATGCATTTTAAGTACACTTCTGACTTATTCACTGAGGAATACTCTAAAGCTTCTACATAATGATACGTGAGGCTTTCGTTTACTTAGAGCTGCAATAAAAAGCCGGTTGCCCTATTCTGAAAGGAATTTGTCTGCCATGGGTGCTAAAGTCCCCTACATTTTTACTTTAGCTGTGGGAGACCTTATGGATGTTAAATGTACCAGGTCATATCCTCAGTTTTTGGTAAATCTGGATTTGTGAGTGACCATTCTAGATGCCCATATAGCTACCATTTATCCTATGCTCAGGAGGAGCCATGTGTCCATATATCTGATTTGTCATTTCTTCTTACTGTACTACGTTTAGTGACTCCTTTACCATTTTTCTAGTGCATTTTATGAAACTGCATGTTAACTCAATGACTCCCTGACTGAAGCATCAGCAGTGCTTATTAGTAAATCTAAAGCATGTATCCATTTTATTTTCAGCTCTTGCTTTCTTCTTAAGCCTTCCTTTAATGTTTAATTATATTTTAGTTACATATAATCTCAGTGCTACTTTGGTGCAACATAAATCTAAGCATTTATAGTCAGGGTAGTACATCTGCCATATTGCAACAGTTCGTTTCCTTAAATAAATAAAGCTCATCAACTTTAGATATAATACATTCCAGCTACAGGATATATACCCTGTCTTCTTCACAAAGTTCCCCAAGACTCTATTTTCATATAATTTAAATGTTGTAAGTAATATTCATTCTACTCTGTTCTGACTGCAGAAATATTGAATTATTTCAAAGACATGGGAAATATTGCTGTTGAGAGTAGAGGTGTATTGGGGAGTAAATGCAATATACTTATTACATTGGATTTCAGTGGGATTTTATTTGGTTGTTTTAATGTTAGGCTTTTCCATATCAGATGCCTTTTGTAGGCATTTCCAGCCTATGAAACAAGGCATAATGGCATAGCCTGTTCTACATGACACCATTGCGTGGCTGTGCCATTGCCTTTCTCCTACAGTTTACTAAGGAGAGCTGTTACTACGGGTGGTGTTAACCAAGCATCTCAAAGTCCTGTGGCAGACACGGTAGGCTAATTTCTAACTATTTGCACGTATTCATGGGTAGTTTGTTTTCAAACACAGCACAGATGTGCATTTCTTTAAAAAAGCAGTTATGAGTAATGCTTAAATACCTGTAGAGCTTAGGATAGGGGTTTGATATTAGTTGGCCTGTTCCAAGTGCTCCTTTTAATAAGAGAGTGCTGCTGTTCAAAGCAGGAATGATAAAAGTTGATGCTATTTTACACGATACCACTGACTACCCTGGTAAATTCACTGGTCTGAAATGAATCCATATCTGAATTTTCTTTTCAATAAGAATGAAAGGATCACTTTAATAGTATTTTGCATTTTCCCTAATTGGTTTGTGTGTATTGTTAAGTATGGTTTTATACCAGTATTCCCTGAACTTATAACTTTGTTTTGTAATTAAGCAGTTTAAGACTAAAAATAAATAGAGTGCTTAGAGAAAAGCAAAGGATAAGATATAAAAGTATGCTCTTGGAAAATCACACCCAAAATTCTAAATCGGATATCCTTTTTAAGTATTTGGTATTGTTTGAAACAGAAACCAAAAGCACAAGTGAGGAGTTCAACCGGATCAGAGTCATTCTAGTCATGTGAACTAGGGTAGAAATTTACCCTACTTGGATCATTCTGAGATACTCTGGTGTGGATTTTTAACTCCTTAAGTATTTAAAAGTCCAAACTATATCCTACTAAAAGTAATTGCAAGAACTAGATAATTAGGTGGAAAGCCAATTGAATAATTAAAAGCATGAGTTATATTATAAAATCAGGGTTTCCTCCCAGGTACATTATAGTATCAAAAAGCATGGCTAACATAAAGTATGCTAAAGAGAGTCCCTGTCAAACTGCTTTATCTAACCTGAAGGGATTAATGCATAACTTAGCAGGTTCTGCCTAGTGATTTGTTTTTAAAACACCAATAATTCTGAGTAAGCTCAATTGTTTCTTTTGCTTACTAGCAAATCTTTCTCCCTTCTCTGTCCACCTTTAACAATAGAAAGGTAAATGTATCTATCTCATGTCTAACAAATCAACGAATTATTGGGTAACAAGGTCTACATTAATGAATTTATACTGCATTGCTGGTCCTTTTGAGTTTATAACAATGGTGTGTTGTCTGGAAGGCCTACCACCATTTCTAGTAGGTGGACACAGAGTAGATGTTAAGAAGTTTCCTGATGATGATTAATTATTTAGCAAAAATCCTGTGCAGGGCTGTGTAGGAGTTACACTGACTTCCAGGATATTCCAAGAAGATCTCCCCTGACTCACCAGTAGCCATGTTTCTGTCATTGTACTTCTCCAACCACAACAGCCATCTTCCCTACAAAAAAAAAAAAAGAGAGAGAAAGGAAAAGGAAACCCTCTAAAAGCCCAAGAAAAAGGTATTCTTAGAAGAAAAGATCCCTACTCCCATAATGCTTGCCTGAGAGATGTTAGGATATAACCCATTTATAAATTTCCTATTAACTTTTTAGGCTATCCTGCTTATATTTAGCTGAATTATTTTGAGAAAAATGAGCTTCAAGTAAAATGGATAGAGTGACTTTACCACCCCATTAAATATGCAGTCAAGCTTAGCTAAGACTTAGCAACTAAAGTTCAAAAAATTCAGTACATAATGTTCAGGGTCACATATTGCAAGACAAATATTTTTTGCTCAGTCTTCCATTGACTAAGGAAGCTGTTTCTATTATTAAATGTGTATGGAATTGATAATTATTAAAAACAAAACAATATTGTACCCCAAAGGTAGACTGGACATTAATCATAAAGCACTGAACAGAAAAGATTTTCAGCTGGCTCCTTTGGAGGACTGGGCTTGGGTGGGGGATAGATTTTATATGTTTTTATATTATTGCAAACTGCATGAATTCTATGTAAACAAGCAAAGGGAAAGTTACAAACTCTTAATCCTTTAGAAAACCATAAACCCTTTTCTTAACTATATTCCATACCTATTATAAAATCCTCCAGTACTTATCTTTCTTCAGCATGCTTAAACAGGCAAAGGTTTATTTATAAATATTTGATAGGCAAATAATTCAGAAGCATTTTCTGGCCCTTCTTTCTCTGTCTCACTTTCAATTCCAATCCCCTCCCCTGATTATAAGAAAATAAAAATATTTTGGTGAAATAATACATCTGGACAAAAAATACAACTTCTGTATTTTACTTCTGGTACCTTAAAATCCTGTATTTAGTTGTTGTTTTTTTCCCTTATTTTAGAAACCGAAAAGAAAATCTTTTATTCCCTAAAGGATAAAATTGGATATAGCCTCTTTAGTAGACCCTATCACAGTTCTGTTGTTTGCTGTGTTCATTTGCTTAATGAATTGTGTGAGAACAGTCACTGTAATGAAGTGTGTGTGTTGGGGGTGGGGGAAGGACATGGGAAATGTTTTATGAAAAAAGTTATAAGCCTAATACTATGAAGTAACATCTAATGACGTTTTTTTTAAGTGCAATATATTTATTTCTGCTAGAAATGTATTATCAACATTATGTAATATTTGAAGCATTACATTTATTTGTAAACAGCTTAAAATTATATATTACTCAAAATTGTACAGAAGTACAAATGTGTACTTTCATTTCTTTCATTAAAAATGGTGTGTTTTTGATACATATACACACATTTACACCTTTCATTATCTTATACACTTTGCTTCATGATTTCTGGTACCTGTTTCCTCCCCTGAAGAAAAAGAGGATTAGGCAAGATTTGGGGTCACACTGACTACTCCAGGGGTGACACAGCCCAGTGGATTACTACACAGGGTTTTGGTTTGTCTTTAATTGCATTTGAACACCTTTCGAGAAGACAAGGCTCTCAAGTTCCCATTTTCCTATACCCAGCCCCCTTCACTCATTTATTCTACCCAATAAACCCTTAGAATCGTGGGACTTTGCACCTCTCCATACTGAGCGTACTGAAGACTCCATAAAGCTTAGAGAACTGCTGCCTCTCCTTCCAGTCATGAGCTCTTGGATGTACTATAATGATATTACACAAAGCAGGCTGACACAAAATTAGATTAGCCAAATGCAAAGTCTTAATCCTTCTTCCACATGACAGTCCTTCAAAATATTTGATGTTATCATACCTTCTGCTTTCAGAAGTCTGCTCTATTACCCTTAATTTTTTGTGCATGCCAAACACCAACCTTTTAAAAATACTTTATTTGGAATAATTCCAAGCTTAGAAAAAAGTTGCAAAAATAGTATGAATACTCTTTACCCCAAATCACCAACTGTTAACTTTTTGCCCCGTTTGTCATTTGCAATTACACTGAGTAGTGCATGAATACACACTCACATAATATATACAGATTGTTTTTCTGAACCATTTGAGAGTAAGCTTCACATATCATGTCTTACTAACTTTAAGTAATTCAAAGTCTATTTCCTAAAACCAAAAAGATTCCATTAAATATCCACAGCAGTTACAACTTCAGGAAATTTAACAATGGTGCAATATGGTGATCTACCACCTGTACTCCCAATTTTGTCAAATGGCCCAGTAATATCCTTTGTAGCATATTTTTTTTTCATAAAGATCCAGTTCAAGGTCACATATTGCATTTAATTATCATGTTTGCTTTTCTAAGTCTCCTTTAATTTGGTATAGTTCCTCAGCCTTTCTTTGCCTTTCATGACAAAAGAATTCCTATTTTTCAATGGTTTATAATTGATTACTATCCTTAGTTATCTTTATGCTGAACTCAACCCAGATTTGGTTGTTGGGAGCCCCTTAAAGTGGCTCCTGTGTCCTTTTGACATGCTCTAATTTATTTATTTTTTAGTACCTTCTTCAATTCATTGTATAACATATGCTCCAGGATCATCTTGTACCTTTCCTGCTCCAGCCCTGAATAAGCCATTCCTACAAGGAGCCCAGATTCCTTTTGGTGGGGGAACTGTATTGGAAACAAAAGATACCGGTGCCAGATGCACTCATTGGGGTATGTTTGTTTCTAGGTCCTTTCATCTTACAAATAAACAAACAAACAAATAAATAAATGNACACACACGTTTATAAGCACACACATATAAATACATGTATGCATGTGTGATATAAGCTGTATTAGAAATTATAAGTTGATGATTATATCTCCAATTCCAATGCACCCCAGTATTTTCCTACTTTGTCACATTCTGTCTGTATTTGCCTTCTTCCACAGTGAGAACCCTGGCTCTCAATAACATCAACAAATTTGTTTACTCAATTCTACCATACCCACCCCCCCGCCAAAACTTGATATTGCTTCACTCATAGAGCTATAAAAAACAAATGTTCTATAGAGTTCAGGATATATATGCAGTTGTTTATCCCTCTACCTAAGGGTATATTGTCAAATGACATGTTTAGCAGTTACTTCGATTAATTCCTATTTTGTTATCCTGTATCAATACAACTGGGTTTATTTGTTCAGTTTGCTTATAGTTTTAAGAGCGTTTTCCCCCCTTCTCATTCTTACTAATTTTTATAAAACCATAAAACATTCACATGTGTCCAAAAAAACCTCATAGAACTAATAAGTAGTTATAGCATGGTTGTAGGATACAAGGTTTATATAAATAGGTCAATTGCTTTCCTACATACCAGCAATAAACAATTGGGATTTGAAATTAAAAATTCAACAACATTTATATCAGCACCAAAAAGGGTAAAAGAAATACTTATGCATAAATATAATAAAATATGTACTAGATCTATATGAAGAAAACTACAGAACTGATGGAAGAAACCAAAGAAGAGTTAAATAAATGAAAAGATATTCCATGTGTGTGGATTGTAGACTGAGTATTATTAAGATGTCAGTTTGTCTCCACTTGATCTATATCTATATAGATTCAACAGAATCCCAATCAAACTCCCAGATAGCCTTGTGACTCTCAACAAACTGATTCTGAAGCTTATATGGAAAACAGAAAACTCAGAATACCCAAAAATATATTGAAGAGCAATGTTGGAGGATTGACAGTAGTGAACTTCAAAACTTACCGTAAAACTACAGCAATAAAGACAGTACAACTGGTGAAATAATAGACAAATCAAGAAAACAGAATAAAGCCCCCAAAATAAACCCACATGAATGTAGCCAATTGATCATTGAAAAAGGAGAAAATGCAATTCAGCTGGAGAAAAAAATATTTTCAAAAAAGGCGCTGGAACAACTGAGCATCCTAAGTGAAAGAAACCAGACACAAATGACTACGTATTGTATGATTCCATTTATATGAAATTCCAGAATAGGGATATTCATAGAGACAGAAAGCAGATTAGCTATTGCCAGGGGCTGGAAGGAAGGAGGAATGGGAATTACTGCTAATGAGTATGGGGGTTTCTCTTTGGGTAAAGAAAATATGGAATTAGTGGTGATGGTTGTACAACTTTGTGAATATACTGAAGTCATTGAATCCTACACTTTAAAAGAACACATTTTATGGTACACGAATTATATCTCACTAAAGCTGTTATTTTAAAAAGTAAAACAAAAAAAAGCTATCCAGCATATCTTTTATTTCCATTCTTTAGGGCCCAACTTGTCAACTTTGAGAATCTCCAGGGGAATAAATCTTGTGTACTTCTGAGTTAATAGCAGGTGGTCTAGAATCTTCTGCCTGCCTCAAATTTTTGTTAACTATAAAAAGAAGATAATTTTGTCTATTAGATAGCATTGTGTAGCCTTAGGCTCTCAATTTATATTAGTTTATTTTTATCCCCTCCTTTTTTATCCTAGGAAGAATTGTAGCTGGTTCTTTGGACTCCCTGAAAAAGGATGATAAAAATAATTCCTTCACTATCCTGAGCCTTGACATGGTAGTAATTGCTACCTTTTATAGAATATTTACTATATCTATGCACTGTGTGTACATTATCTTACTTAATCTTTGCAACAAGTCTATGAGGTTGGGAAAATTATTCCCATTTGAGGCATGAGAGAACCGAGGCTGAGAGAGTTAGTGTTCAGAGACCTACAGTGAGATGTCCGGGATTTAAATCCTGTTTGTATTCATAACTAAGATGCTGTGCTAACTCCTCAAACATACATTTCTAAGTTTTAAGAAAACTCTTCTATAAAGTCTACATTGCATTTACTGAACCTAGGTACATAGCCTTAATTAAGAAACATAAAAGCTACCTAACTCAACAAGTTTCATCCTGATGGTCTATATAGTCACTGGCATCTCAAGAGTCTCAGATTGCAGCAAAAACCAGAAAGGAATTTTAAATTCCATATTTATCTTTTGGAGTTGGGTCAGATATCTCTGTGAAAGCAGGCATTTACAGCCCAAAGTGAGAGTCTGTTAGTCTTAATGTAAAAACTTCTATTTATTTAGGGACATTCTTCTTCCGACTTATACTCTAGTTGCCATTTAGGGCTGCTAGAGGATAGAAGTAATTAGAAAATAGGAACAATGAAGCTGAAGTCCACTGCACTTAGAGACTGGACAGCAAGTGGTCAGAGAGGAACCTAAAGGGCAGATCAGGGACTGAGGGGAGGCCAGACTTGGGCTAGGCTGGGTAAGCTGGAGAGAGGTGGACTTAGGCTCATTTGGGTTGGCAGTGAGAGGTGGAGCAAGAGGAAGACAGGGTGAGGGGTGAAGGTGGGGTGGATTGTAGAGTGAGGCCCTCAGTGGAATCAGAACACATAGCTGGAGACAGGTGAGGAAAGGAGGGAAGCACTGGTAAGATGGGAGCTGGGAATAGGGCAGTGGATCCCTCAACAGCTGTTATCTTTCCAACTACCCAAATACATGTACAGATACTCATTAGAATCAAATCAGTTTAAAAGACTTTAATAAGGCCATGTGGCCCCAAGTCTTCAGAGTTGAGGAAATCAGAGATAAAGAAGTATGCCCAAAACATACTGGGTCCAGTCCAATGATGTTTCTAGACCACTGTGTCATAATCAAATATGAAATCATCCTAAAATATGTGATATAAAACATAGTATATAGATGCCTTATGTATCATTGCTGGCTTTGCAGCGTTTTGCACTTAATCTACCCATACATATTCCACAATTTATTCATTAGTACTTCTGGCACTTTTGCTTATTAATATTGAAGGTAGTGATTTTTGTATTAGTTACTTTGGTGGTAAATAGAAATAATCTCAATATGTTGGAGTTTGTGCATGGAACTAACATGGGTTCATGGAAAAATTGATTTTGGGGTGTGGTATATGTATGTATGTATGTAGTTGTGTATATATTGGTTAAGTCATTTAATAATGGTTACTGAGTTCCCCTCTGCTCAAATCAGTATGCATATACTATGCAATTGGGCAGTCTCCCTATTTGGAGGGAGAGAGAGAGAGAGAGAGAGAGAGAGAGAGAGAGAGAGAGAGAGAGAGAGAGAGTGCATGTGTGTGAAGGAATTCTCCCAACTAATTCATGGATTATCTCCCTTTCTTTGAATGAAATATGCCTATACAAGGGTATTTAAGGTCAAGAGGGTCTCATTCCATTCTGATATAGGTAGGCCTAAGGAACTAAAATGACCAGATAATGGGTGGCTGAGACAGCTCCAGTTTCAAAAGGAGCATAAGCCCCTCATGGACACAAAAAGTAGACTAGAACTCCTAGAAATTCTAACTTCTCAAAGATACCTTTTCTCCTTGGCCAAAAAGGTTGTGTTATGCAAAGCAATAGATACAGATGCATTTATATTCAAGCTGCATGCTTCATTGCAACTTATTTTTCATTTTCTCCCATGAAGAAGCACCTACATACAGCTAGAATGTAAACAGCATGTCTAAAGTAACTTAATAGCAGCAAATGTACTATTTAAAAATGAATGAATCCAAGATATGTAATAATTTTAGACTGAAGCAGTTCTTTTATAAAATACACACGTGCAAAGACATTTATTTTAGTGGAGGCTACTTGGCGAAGAAGAATCTGAAAGGACCTTTTAACATAAAAACAGACCAATTAGAAAATAAACAGTTGCCAAGAAGCACATACCTATAATTATCCTAATTTTTGAGACAAAATTAGAGATACATGTTTAAACAGAAATATTTTTTCACCTATGTGAATTTATAGGAAGTCTTACAAAAGAATAAAAAAATGAAACCCATTTGGTTCACCTTTCTTAAAACTTCTTAACTGAATAAAATTACCAAGTCAAATTGGTCTGAAGAATCTTGGATATGTGGTTCAATTACAGTTAACATGAATATAAGATCCTAAGAATTTTGCTTCCATCTTTGGGGCTAATGATGGTAGACTAGAGATAAAATACTTTGATGCCAATTCCACCTCCCTGCACTATAAAAGTGAAGAAAATAGTGTATAAGCAACTGAAACAGTATGAATAAAACCCCACATTTATACAGAAGAGTATCAATTAAAGTGACATTAGTATTTTGAATTATCAAGTTATAAGTAGAAAATTTAATATTTTTTAAATGATATTCACTGAATGTTATCTTTCCTGGTCCATAAAACCAGGCAATAGATGTAATTTATCTACTTACTTTGTATCTACATATTTGTGTAAAGTTAAAACATTTAAATTTGATAAAAAATTATCTGACTCGATTAAAGCAAAGTCATTATTTGGAAAACCAAACATTGGCTTGATGAATATTTTAATTATTTTGATATATGAAACATGCAATGTAATTATTTGTATGCAGGGTTACACTTGGAATTTTCTTACATTTCACATTTAGTAAACCGATTTATTACAAGAACACTAATTTTTTTCTTTTTAAAAATGAATTTTAAAACTACCTAAATGTTTAAAATTCTGATTTACAAGTCATCATTGCCATCTGCTGGTTACAGAGTTTTATTGCATTTTTTTTTTTTTTTGGTAAAAACAGACAAAACAGAGCCAAGTTTTAGATATAGATGACTGGATTAGAAATCTCTATGTAAGAGAAATAATTTTCTAAATCACAAGATATCTTGATTTTAAAGAGAATAAGATAATATAAGAATAGTTATATTAAATTACAATCTTTCAGTTTTTCATAGAATAAGTATCGGGCATACTGGTTTAAGTTAATTGCAATTAATAAGTTTAAGTTTATTGTAATTAACAACTGTCTTCAAAATAACTAGATCAAAATAAGTGACAACTGTCAGAGAAGATATAAAAAGATGAAAACATGCCATGATTCTGTTCAACTGAATAAACTAAGTGCCATCTTTTCTCTCACATCCACAAATCTATTCCTCTCCTTAGTAAGAAAATGCACAATTATTTAGGCAACTACCTCTCAGTTTTCTAAGTTAATTAATGAGAACTGAAACTCACATTACTGTTTAATAGTCAAATAAGCATATAACTGAATAACAAAAAATCCAGGTGGGCAAAATATTAATTGGAAGTAAAACTTACCAGTATACTCTGAATATGAATGTAGAGAAAGATATAGGAACATTTTTTAAATTAAGTGCATACTATACATTTTCAAGTGTTTTACATTGTTTTAGGTGCTTTAGCATTTTTCAGATGAGGAAAAAATATTTTAGAGTGGCTAACTTACTAGCTCAAGGTCACACACTGGTAATCTTCCATGTATCAGTCCTCTGTGTTAAAGATTTACAATGGAGCTTGGCACATAGTTAATTCCACGTGCTTAGTATTTCTCTGAATCATATATATTCTGCTTCTTATACCTTTAACACTGTATCATGAGTATTTTCCTATATCATTAAGTACTGATTCAAAATGCTTCACTGTATGTGTTCTATGATTTATTTTTTGACATTGAGGTTATTTCTAATTTTCACTGATATAAATAATAGTACAATGAACATACTTATAAAAATTATTTTTTAAATTATAAAGATGACCAGATTCGTACCTTCAAGGGCTAGACTGAGGGTAAGAATATGTTTTATTCTGTTAGGACATTGAGTGATTCAAAAGGCTATTGGAAACTACAGGAAACAAACCAACAAATAGATCAAAAAGGGAAACATGGGAAATAGGCCGAAAAAATTGAATGGAGGGAACCCAAAATTAGAAAGTTCAGTCCAGAGCTGCATAAGAAAATCTCACTGAAAATAACATCTGGGCAACATTCCAGTAGCAGCTACTCCTTGCTAACCACAAAAATATATATTCCTCATGAAAAAAAGGCATAAAACTTACAAAATTACTTAAATGAATAATCAGTAACAAGGACCCTCAGATTATCTTTTAAAATATTCAACTATAGCTTAAAATAAACACATCTATTAAAATTAGAGAGTTGGAGGATAAACAGATTCATTGAGTAAATGTGAATTTTAAAAAAAAGCATAGATGGTCATATTAACTTCAGGTGAAGTAGGGTGTATAATTCAGGCCACTCAAAATGTCTATGGGAAAATATAAATTTCCCAAATTGACACCAGAAGTAGACCATGTATATAGATCAATAATAATGAAGGAAAGTGAAATATTAAAGAAAAAAAGGCTCCCAAACCAGATGTTCTAATATAGACAAAAAGGTACAAATTCACCCAATTTGTTTTATGAATATAACTCTAATAAAAGAAGGAAGCAAAATCAGAGCACTCCACTTACTGCTCCAAAAGCAAAATTAAAATATTCATATGAAAAAATAAGGTACTTTATTTTGAGTATGCATATTCATTCAGTAACATTTTTATCAACCACCCATAAATACCTTGTTTTTAAAACTCAGTATTAGATAATTTAATAGCTGTTAAAATTGGGCAAATTAATACATCCTTGATCCTTATTTTCCTACCTTGTACAAAATTATTTTATGAATTAAATGAGAAAACGTTTTAAGCACCAAACATGGTGCCAGGAAGGTAGAGAGGTGCTCCTTGAAAAACCTTACAAAACAGCACATTAGTAACAGCACTTACTGAATTTAAATAAGTGGCAAGATGAATAAATAGTACTGTCAGTAGTTACTTTAGACGTTTAGAGAAGGGGGAATTAATCAGGGCTAGAGAAATGGGCTGGAGCTTGGGGGAGATAGACTTCAGGTGGGCAGGAAGAAACAGATGAAAAGCTACAGGATGGCTTTTTGGTAGGAGTAAAGGGGTAATTACACTACAGACCTCACTCCAAATGAATGGAATGAAAGATCTGTGTCCAGGGAAGTGGAAAGTTTAAAGGCAAATTGAGGCAGATGATTTAAGGCACTGATGAGCAAGCTAAGGAATTTAGATTCTGTTAGTGGGCTAGTGACAGCCACAGACATTTTTGAGTAGTGTTGAATCAAGAAAATTACTCTGGTCACAGTGAGCCACAGATTAGACAGGGAAGAAGGATATTAGGGAGTTCAGTCTAACCCATCATAAAATAGATGGGAGGTGAAGCAGTGCGGGCCCCAACAGTATGGTCTGTGACGGAAGACATGGAAAATTCCATCTTTGCCCACCACTGCGACATCATGTATGACTATGTACTGACTGGGGAGCTAAGAGTTCCCTTCTCAAATGGTCCCGGGTGGTGCCTGATTTAGACAGGTGAGAGTGCTCAGCACAGTGGTTCTAGGGCTGAGGAATTGTGAGTAACCTTGCTGGGACACAATTCTTGTGAAAATAAACGGAAAACTCATATTAAATGGAGCAGGGAGGCCAGAAGGGGGAGCATTTACACCATACGACTTGAGGTCAATTATAGACCCCAACAGAAAAGAATCATTAATTACAGATTCCAACAGGGAAAGATATACATTGCGTCTCTTACAAGAAATTGACTTACCCCAGCCAATGAGAACCCATCAACCTGAACTCTTGCTTTTCTCTAACAGACTTTCATTCAAAACATGACCTCCGAACATCCTCCTTTTCCATAAAACAATGCTTTTCTTCTTTGTTTGTGGGATTTGCCTATGGCTTTGCAATAGCTTACATGTCATAAATTACAATGCTCTGTTATTCCCAAATGAACTCAATTTTACTGGTAAAATAACCTTTTATTTTCAAGGTCAACATACTTTAAGATTGGATTAGTAAATGCTGTCTTCAAAAGGGTAACCTCGGTGTTACTGAACTGTCAACTTGGGGCTCGGGGTTAGACTCACTGAGATCACAGGCCTTGCCACATGTTGCCTCCCCGGAGCTGACGGGACACTGAATGCCCAGTGCTACCTGTTTCTAGGTGAGGAGACATGCTCCTAAAGGGCCCGGGACACCACAGGCGCTTACTTCCGTCGGTTATTTTCTTCAGCTAAGAGCTTCTGCTTTAACATCCTCCAGACATGCAAACTTTTGGTAAAAAGAACAAAACTGAACTGCAAGAAAGGAACGCAAGCGCGGGGAGCTCGGGCTTGGCTGCCCTCAACATTGGCTGCAGGCGCGCGAACAGGCTGGGGGCGGTGCGCCGGGGAGGACGAGCACGTGGGCTGCGCGCGGCGGCGGCGCGCGAGCCAGGGGGCCGCGTCCTTACGCCCCCCTTCCGGGTTTCGCGGTCTCCTTGACGACCCAGCGGCCAGCAACGGCGGCGGGGACCAGTCGTTGAGCCTGTGAGCGGAGCCGGTCCTCTAAGGACCTCGCCCAACTGGGCCTGGCCAGCGCCGGAGAGACTCGGCTCCGTACGCGCAGGGACTATGAGAAAATGGTCGGGGAAAAGAGGAAAAAGCTCAAAAGAGGCGGCTCCAGAGCCGTTACACTCTCTCCGCTCCAGGCAGTCTGGGCGCCGTCGCAAGGCCACCGGAGCCCGGGAGCCCGAGACGGAGGAGGAGCCGCAGGGGAAGATGGAAAAGCCCAAGAAAACTTTGCCCGTAGGCAGGGGCAGCCTGCCCCGGGGCGCCCGGCAGTGCTCTCCGCGGAGGTCCCAAAACCTGAAGGCGCAGAATGTGCGACCGGAAGTGGTCACGAGGACCCTGCTCGGCCGCTTCCACTTCTTCAGCAGTTTACTGGATCACCTCCGCGACAAGGTGCATCTATTGAGACATCAGTTCTTGAGCAGGACCTACTTCACCATAGGTGAGCGGAATAGACCGGGAGAGGCCCTGACAAGGCCGGATGCCCATCTGCCAGGTCCCCCGGGGTCTAGGCTTCGACCAACGGGCCGGCTGAGCCTCGGGTTTGAAGTGGTTTTGGTGAGTCAGTTCTGAAGATCATTTTGACAAGTTAGTCTAGCAACAATGACAAGGTCCAAGCTCTGGAAAATCGCTGACAAGAATTCCCAGCTCCCTTTGTTCTTGTTTTAAAACCTTTTCCAGGGTTTTCAGGCACAGTGATAACCCCCTGGCACCAATGAAATGTCATTTTATAATCAGGGCAGCCATTTGTTACAGGTTGTAAAATGATAGGCTAGCTCTTGGGGAGCAGATCTTTGTTCCAATGGATTTAAATTTTAAAAAAGTGCTGGTTTTTAAAATTGCTTGAGAACCTGTAGTAGTGGAAATAGGAATAGGATCAAATTATACAATATAATTGCTCCATGTTGGTACCCATTTGCTTTCATCCTGCTGTGGAGCTTCAATGCCCTAATTTGGGGAATTTTCTTTTTCTACAAGAGGAAAGATTTTTCTTTACATTCCGTATTTTCTATAGCTTAAGAGGTAACTTAAATCTTGCTGTTTCAATAAAATAAATTTGAGCCCAGTTCTTGGTCAGACTGATTATGGATTTAAGTTGAAACACAGATAAATGTTCCCTATCGTAAGTTGTGATTTCTTTTCTACCATAAATTGACTGCTGATGTTGAAAGTAGAATGGCCTCCATATTTGGGGTGTTAACAATACTTGGGGGATAATAGATGAGACTTCATAGAGCTTATGTCTAATTATGGCAATAGATATATCCCACATCCAGAATCAACTTCGTCTGGGTTTGCTGCCCCAAACAAGCTCCTATACACCCCTGGCTGAGACACTGAAAGAATTCGAATTGGATGAAATAATGATTGAATATATTATGTGCTCTAAGAGTTGGGAAGAGTGAGCTAATTCTGTTGGGACCAGCCACGGAGAGTCTAGATCAAGACTAGGTTTAAGGCATTTGAACTGAATTCTTTGGGAGGGCACTGACTGATTCTTTTACTTTAAGAAAGGAAATATTTAATGAGGTGAAATGCACATAACAAAATTAAGCATTTTAAAGGGAACAATTCTGTGGCATTTAGTCTATTCACAATGTTGGCAATGAATAATTTTTAAATAGAAGGTGACATGACTAAGTGTGCTTCAGAGGTATTAATTTGACAGCAGTGTCTAAAATGGACTGGAGATGAACTGAGAAAAGAAGCTGAAAAAATAATTGAAATACCAGAATCCAGGCAGTGGTGGTCTTGGGGAGGGAAGTAACAGCAGGAATGGAAAAGAGAGGATGGAAGTAACAGTCAATTGAAGCACGGAGAACACTGGGCAGAGGGGGCAGAGGGAGAGAGAAAGTTCAAGAATGAGGAATATAGATTTGAGAATTACCCATGTAGGAGTGAGCTGAAGCTTTAAGATTGAGATTAAGTGAGATTGCCATGTAAGAAAAGAGGGCCAAGCACAGTGAGTTGGGAAACCCCTTATACTTAGTTTCAAAGATGAGAGGAAAAGGAAAAGGCAGATAAGCATATAAAAACAGAGTGGTCAGAAAAGTAGAAGAACTGGGAGAGTTGGTGTGAGGGACAATAACAGGAAGAAATCTAAGAATCTGGACAAATGCTACAGAAAGGCCGAAAAGCATAAGAATTGAAGGAGGCCACAGATATTGATAAGTAAGAGTTGCAAGAATTCAGAAGCAAGAAGTTGGCCAAGAATCTTGTCAGTGATTAGGAGGAGAAGTGGGGGGAAGAACATTTCATAGTGTGAAAGGCTGTGAGAACAAGAAGGGAAGTGTTTTAAGGCCTAGGATAATTGAAGACTGAAGGGAAGGATCAAGGGAGAGAGTATGAGATGGTGATTCTAAGAGAAGGAATAGCCAATGGAACAAAGTCTTGGAATGTATTTGCCAAGGGTGAAATTAAAGGCACACATCTAAGCAGCTAACGATGGAAGACAGTAGAGATAGTCATCTTCTGAGATGATAGGATTCTTGCTTCTGAGAAGCAAGGATTGCTATGTAGAGAAACATTAAGTACGTTAAGTGGATATAAGAGAAGTTGGGAATGCTTATGTCAGATAATCTTTGTTTCAGTAAAGTATAAGGCTGGGTCACTTTAAGAGGTGAGACTGGTGGACACAGAATATAGGGGCCCAGGAGACATTATTGCATTTTAGAATATTGGCATCATTACACCTTAATCATTTTATCAAGTGTGGAATGTGGGGTGAGAGGAACACAAGTGAGAAACACAAGAATATTCTGAGGAATTTTGGAAAAGTAGATGGATTTAGTAGGCTATTTGATCTTTTCCTTTTCCTTAAGTATCATTGTTAAGAGCTTTTGCTAGTATATATAATTGGAGAATAAGAAAGAGGATACAAATATAGTTGAATAGGGCAGTTTCTGTATCTCAGAAAGTTAATGAAGCCATATCAGAGGGGTATCAGTGTCAAGAAGAGATAGAAAGAATAGGTTTAATTTCACAGTAGTTCAGAGAATATTATATATTAGATAGAGTTAACATGTGTAGCAAATATATACCTTTTTTAAAAGAGCCAGGTAGTAAATATTTTAAGCTTCATAGGCCATGTACTGTCTCCCTTGTCTGTTCTCCCTCACTTTCCTTTTAAAAAAGTAATAATCATGTTTAGCTTGTGGACTGTACAAAAAAAAAGACCACTACCCATAGTTTGCTGATCATGGTATAAAACTAGTAAATCTGAGAGGTATTAAAGAGTGGTAGGAATGAGCCCAAGATGTTAGGAATATAGGAAAAAAAGCTGGGGAAGCATGATTGGGAGTTTTCAACATTGCAGTTTTTTTCAAATTAATTTTTTATGGATTAATTTGCATTTATTTGATAGCCAAGTTAAGTTTCTGAATTTTCAGGAGGTTGATTTTGGCAGGTTGTAAATTGACTTGCCAAGTATATTTGGGACAACCATGAGAAATAACATTATAAAATGTTGGAAGGGAGGCAGGACATTAGGAATAGCTAGTAAATTCACACCATTGACAGTAGCAAAAATCCTTGGAAAATGATCAGAGTTTTCTAAAACTTTGCAAATTCACCAAAGGTTAACAACCTAAAGAGCATTTATTGAAGAAAAACTACAGTACTGAAGCTGCAAGAACAGCATGGTTATTGCATTTTCACTTGGCCTCCTCACATTCCCTCTCCTCAACTACATGGTGCCCTTGAAAACAAGCAGTGTCCCAGCCACCAAAAGGGACAGGAAGTGTTTGGAGCTTCTCGAAAAGCTCCAGACCCACAGCAGTAGCGCTGTTTCATGTGTCTGGCAGCCCCCATAAAGCCTCATTCACAGGGCAACCCTGGCGCTCCAGATGAGTCTCCCAGGCTAGTAGTGTTGGAGCTCTCACAGCTCTATAAAGGTTTGAATTACCCACAGGGATATTCAGATGTGCTGCTGAGGAAGTAACTTCCTACATTGAACCACCCTGTGATGAGCATGAGGGCAACGGTCTAAAGTGGCTCCTGTTGCCTACAGTCACTTCTGAAAGGACGGAACTGAAAATAGTGTATATATGTGCTTCTTTTAAAAATACTTTATAAAAGAGAATAGGAAAGATAGTGAATAATACTGAAAATCATAAAAAAGGTCTAAGTCACTGACAATTTCTTCACTCTTCTGTAAATGGCATAAATGAGACAGAGTCTTCCATGTCTCTCCCTTTGCTCCTCAAATCCCCTCTACAACAATACCTACTATACACAATTTGTTGTATGTCCTTTTGGAATTTTCCTTCTGCTATATAGACAGAATTAGGTAGCCATTCTGCTTGTGTGTGCTCTCTCTCTAGACATAGAAGGAAATGCACTTGAAATAGTTGCTTTAAAGGAATATCATCATAAAGCAACTCTTAATGACATTTTCTTTCTTTTTTCTTTTTTTCCAGCTGCCTTTTGGGGAATTTTGCACTGGTAAGATTAGTTTCAGTTTGAAATTTTAAAAAATGTGGATTAGAAATTGCCATTGCTGTTTGCAGACAACTAGAATGATAGCTTGCTATGTGAACAGAATATCTGTATGTGTACAGTTTACATATAATATATGACTACTTAAAAAAACCCTTATATTTGAAGCAGCACTTATAAAATAGTTATATTAAGGGAATAGTGACCAATGAATTAAAACATTTTTATCAAAGGATTCTTAAATTCTTAAAACTATATTTCTTAAATATCTGGCTTTTCTAGTGTGCTTTGCATATTTATTTCAGCTTGAAAGTTCCCTTATGTTATAATTGTGTGTTGTTTGTGACATAAACTTGGAGATAAAGTTTTAATAACACCTGTCAATTGGAAATCAGATAGAGAAGAATATAAAGACTGCATTGGTAATGCAGAATATATTGAACCTTTCAGTGTGCATGCATTTGCACCTGATTTTACACAAGTGATCTATTTGTGAAAATCATATGTAAGGCAATAATACTTTTCCTCTGATGCATTTTCATTTCTACCTGGGCTCAGGGATTTCTACTCTTAGGAAGAACAGGATCTGCCTCAATTCCTGTTGGGACAGTGCTGTTCTGGCTGTTTAGTCTGCAGGGAGATTTTTTTTTTTGGTATCATTAATCTACAGTTACATGAAGAACATTATGTTTAGTAAGCTCCCGCCTTCACCAAGTCCCCCCCACATACCCCTTCACAGTTACTGTCCGTCAGCATAGTAAGATGCTGTAAAATCACTACTTGTCTTCTTTGTGTTGTAGAGCCTGCTCCATACCCTCCCCCCCCACATTATACATGCTAATCATAATGCCCCCTTTCTTTTTCCTGCCCTTATCCCTCCCTTCCCACCCATCCTCCCCAGTCCCTTTCCCTTTGTTAACTGTTAGTCCATTCCT